AAGTCCTCTAGAGCAGAGCGCAAGTGGCTCCGACAGGGACTGGGGCAAAGCCCTGGGCTTTGTCAGGCATGGAGACCTGCGACAGCCCAGCAGCCCCGGGGCCCAGGTACCTTGTCCCCTGTGTCCGCCAGGGACAAGGCTGAGCCCGCAACCAGGCACCCAGCAGCGCAGTGGGGGCTGAAGCCTGGCTCCCCAAGAGCAATGACCATGTGGGAACAGGACCTTGCTGGAGGAAGGCGAGTGCCGGGAGGAGCACAGCAAGGGGCTGGGGGCTCAGCACACCCTGCCGATGGCAGCATCAGATCCAGCCTGGCCGCAGAGCGCTGCGGAGCCACCCCTGTGCCTGCCATGAAGGGACGCAGGCAGCAGGGTGAGTCGGTGCTGGGGGCAGAGCGTGCACCACAGCTGGGGTGTCCCTAGGCCTCAGCCTGTTGGGGTCGTGTGCTGGAGGTGCCTCTCACTGCCCCACTGTCCTCAGGCTTGGGCAGGATGTGCAGGTGCTACAAGCACCTTGATAACTGTGAGCACCAGATTGCACCCTGTGAGGTGAAGTACCAGCTGCACAATGTGGACACCCGGACGCCCTTTAGGTGCGTGTCCAGGAGGAAAAGGCAGGGCTTTTCCCACCATCACAGGGCACTGTGTGCAGATAGTTTGGGGTCAGACGAGGTAGGACCCAGCGGGATGCCCAGCCTAGCCAGCACTTGCTGACCACTGCCCTCTTGTGCCCACAGGCTGGCGCGGTTCCTGCGCAGGGTGAGGGACCTCAATGACGTGGCAGTGGCTGTCCTGGCTGACCGCATTGCTGTGGACTGCTTTGTTCTGGAGCCACCCACTGACTGCAGCCTGGGCAAGGGGCCGCAGCACAAGTAAGTGTGGAGGGTCAAGGGAATGTGGGCTTCCTACCCTGCATGGGCAGGGTGCTGTCTTGCAGGCTTGGCATGAAGCTGGCATTGCAAGTGTTATCCCCTGCTCTGCTGTGCCATGGGCTGGGGTGGGAAGCAATGGATGTCAGTGCTGCAGCATTACACTGATGCTCACAGCTTTGCTTCTCTGGCAGCTGTATCACAGCGACCCGGGCTGTGCTAGTACCTGCACAGCATCTCAAAAAGACCCTGAGGTGCTGGGGTCCTCCACATGTGACCTCCAAGGCAGAGCATCCATACTGGAAGACACAGGACAGTGGTGGCACCCTCTATGAGCGATGCCTGCAGCTGGCCTTGGAGCAGAAGCTGGGCACTTAGCACCACACGGTGCCCTGATGATGCCTGAGAAACACTGACTTGTGTGGGGAGGAAGACATGTTGTGCAGCAGCCACGAGTGGAGCTGCTTGATTTCTGGTCCTTTAGACAAAGGATGGCACTGAGCATGGCTGCATGGAGCTGGAATGGGGGCAGGCAGAGGGACTGAGAAGCCTCTCAAAGGAGCTGTGGCTGGCATCTATGAGCATCAAAGCAAGGGGAAAGGAGGGCTTGGGAAAGTGGAAACCTACCATCTTCCTTCCCTGTTGTGCCCTAGGGGATGCTCTAGGCATTGGGCCCCCCCACCCCTGGATTTGTGCCCCTTCAGCTGGGGGGCCTGAGCAGTGTGGTATGATCCTGGACCCCTTCCCCAGGCAGGGTAGGAGGAGGTGCAGGGAGGGCTGGGGTCTGTGCTGGCTCCCAGCCCTGGAGTGAGGTGGGAGGCGGCGGGCAAGCACTGTGCACAGCAGAAGATAAATAAAGGGTGGTCTGAGCATGGTGTGTGGTGCAGGGGCTGAGCCTGCTGTCCCCAGTTCACACTATGGCCCCAGGGGCTGATCCTGCCCTCCTGCAGTAAGCACAGTGCAGCTGGGGTGGGGAGGATGGTTTATTTTCTTGCTTGCACTACATCCAAGGCTGAGGCACAGTGGTAGCAGCAGGGAAGGAGCAAGCTTCGATCTCAGGGGTACCCTGGGGTGGTCCTCACCATTGCCCTGCCCTGGCCTCCTGTCCCACCTCAGGTGTGAGGCCAGCACTCCTCCCATAGGACTGAAGGGTCTTACACTTTGAATTTCAT